CCAAGATTCTAATTCAGTAGGTCTGGGTTAATGTCTGTACTTTTAAGACCCCCAAATGATTCTGGTGTGGAAAGTCACTGATAGGTACCGCTAATTTGGTGCCTTGCATAAAATACCTTGTATGGTTACTTAACTCTTTGTGTGTCTGTGTATGTTTTTAATTTGCTCACAGTAAATTAAAACCTTTCAGGCCAATCTTTAGAGAAAGTTCAAGTGGATCTCTCTTACAGGTCCCTTTTACCAGACACCCTACAGATCTACTCTGCTCCTCTCCTACCTCGTGTGATTGTCCCCTAGTTGAGGGAAGTAGCCGTCTTATCTAAGCCTTAGAGGTCTCTTTGCTATGCACAGAACTCTAGAGAATGTAGAAAAAGGAGACGACATCATAAATCACTGCTGGACACCAATAGCCTCTTCACAGAGAATAAGTCTGGAAAGGAGTGGAATCCCTGTGAAACTTTCCTTTCCTAGGGCCCTTCAGAGTTGTCGTTGGTTGAGGGTGTTACAATGAACAGGACACTCTGCATCCCTTTCAGGTCGAATTGGAATTCAAGGGGCAAATTTCATGAAGTCTGTGTAAAATGGTCTGTTCACAAGTAACACAAAAAGGGCCTGAGCGGATGAGTGAAATAGAGCCAAACACAGCTGGCCTGGCCTGAGGATGACGGTCAATACCCAGTATCAGCTTATCACCCACAATGGTCATTACTTGGAATCCCCTTTCCCAGGTCCGTGCATCCCTCACATCATGGGAGAACTGGCCAAGACCCGGTAGGAAAGATACATTACAAACATCATTAAAGAATTTACTGCTGCCAGTCAGAGCTTTGGATAGGTCAAGAAAGTGTGTGTATGCCGGGGGTAGGAAGTGGAGGTGGTTGGTGCCCCACAGATTCCTGCCAAGAGCACTGGTGCCAAAAAGGACGGGACAGATAGGACAAAGTTTGGCCCCATTAGAAGCCAGTACAGGGAAGATGTAGGACGTAGTAGACTGTGGCCCTGAGCATGCAAAGGCTGTCAGAAGCTTGCAAGGAATCCATAGGGTGTATCCCACGGTCTGCTTCTCTTAGAGGGCCGTTACCTAAAGTAGCAAAGACCATATGACAAACATTGTTTAAGCTAATGACTCTGGGCTTCTATCTCTGAGCACCCCACCTCCCCCAAAACCTCACTTCCTCACCCTACCTCTGCTTTTCTATTTCCTGTCCACTACTTGTCTAAAATAAATTGTTTGCTCTTGGCTACTAACTTAAAGGTTGGTGGTTTGAACCCAGCCAGCGGCACCATGGAAGGAAGGTCTGGCAACCTGCTTCCATAAAGATTACAAGCAAGAAAGCCCTATGAAGCAGTTCTACACTGTAACACATGCGGTTGCCATGAGTCAGAATCGACTCAGTGGCAACAGATACTTGTCTATATCACCTTTTCCTAGTCTCTCCTCCCCACAGAATCTCTGATTCTCCACCCCTGTCCTGTTCAGAGCCCTCTACATTCCTCCGTCCAGACTCCCGGGGCCCTCTGCACCTGGTGGCACTGGACAAGCATGTACTGCTGATGATGAAGATGGTGCCCATGAGGAAGCCCATCAGGCCGATGGCCAGGCCCAGGGCACAGACCAAGGTCTCTGTGCTGTCTGGTAGTGGGGTAGGCAAGTAGGGCTCTGTGAGAGAAAGAAAGGGTCAGGGGTATGGCAAAGTCACTCC